AAAAAAAAAAAAAAAAAAAAAAAAAATATATATATATATATATATATATATATATATATATATATATATATATATATATATATATATGATAGATAACCATATGAAGGTGTCTCCCCTCCTTTCTCTTATTCTGTAACTACCACCACAATGGTCCTAACCATAATGTTATTATGGAACCGTTAGTACGATGGTCCTATCCATTGTGGTATTGTGGAACCGTTAGTACAGTGGTCCTATCCATTGTGGTATTTTGGAACCGTCAGTACAATGTTCTTAACAGTAAGGTAACGTGGATCCGTTATAGGTACAAAGGTAATAAACATAATGTTGTGTGAATGGTCCCCGTTATGACTTAAAATGCTATTGTGGATGCACAAATACAATTGCTCCAGGCCGTTATCTTTGATAATGTTTTTGTGAAACTGGCAGCACAATTCTCCTCTCACCTTTATAGAGAAAAATGTCCCAACAAAGGAAAGTGTGGTAATAGATAAAGTAATTGTATAATATACTTTGCATAAATTCAATTATATTTAAGATTTATTCAATGAAATTGAACCCTTAAGAAAACATTCATAGAAATAGTGCTTCTTAAATTACCCCTCTTTTGCCCAGGGAAAAAGGAATGTGGGGCTGGGGGTGGGGGAGTTAGAGAGATGGGGGTGGTATACATGGTACAGACAATATACTCACCGTTATACATTAGACTGATAAAGTAGGACCTGCGGTTTTCGTAGCCATTAACGTGTGTCCTGTCTTCATAATCATGATGAAAAGTCACAGTGGGTGGTGTAGTTGACATATTACAATACACCTCGAAAGCAGCCACACCTCCACCGCCATCTGGGTCAACCCAATAGAGGCCGCTAGTGGCGTTGAACCGTCTCAGAAATGTGCAAGATTTAGGTAAGGCTGGCAAAATGGACAATAAATTAACAATTATTAATTTTCTCAAGAAAAAATGATGCCCATTACTAATCCAGGCACTGCTCAGTTAAGAATAAACTTCAAAAGCAATTTTAGTGTTTTCCTTTATGCATACTACTTGCCTTAATTATTCTAACACAAAAAGAGCTTTGAAACGGTATTTGGGCCTGCAGACAAAAAGAAAACGTGCCACTAGAAAAATTGTTATTACCTCGCTCTGTGTTGAAAAGTTCCCAGTCCTTGTATGCCACTGGCAAAGTAAAAGGGTCTTCGTATGTCGTTTTATCGTTTATTTCACAAGTCCCGTTTGCTGGACTGTAGTTCACCGATTTACACCTCACCGGACCAAGGGAAAGACATCTCTTGGAGCAGTCTATCTTAGAGCGAACATTGTATGTAAAATGTTGAGTGCCATCATGAACTCCATTTTCCAGCCGAAAACCTTTTTGGATGTGAAGAAGCTCGTAACGATATGCACCGGTAGGCTGGGAATGGAATGCACTAACCAGAACGAATGCCAAAAAGTAGAAATCATGGTTTACATACATCACTTTTTTCAGGAGACTTCAAAATAATAATTCTTACAGCAGCACACGGCAAAAATTACATAGCTGTGTATCTCAGAACTTCTCCCAGAATTACCTTCTATTTCAGTTATAATCGATTACTCAACTTCAGTATCTTACCATAAGTTGGACTTTCTTATTGATGTAGTTTTCTTTAGTTTATCTTATTGTCCTTTATTGTTAATAAAAACACTTAGTTTATTGACAAAGTAACAACATTTGTTTACTCCGAAAGGAAGTTTTTTTCCAAAGCAACTGTTGAGGTAAATCAATATAACATTGTTTCTCGTAAAATGTGTTGAATTGCAGCTATTTTCATTTCAATATAGTTAAATATAGGAGTTCCTCAAAAGCTGAGAATTTATTTTACTTGTTATTATCAATATATGCAGTTACACAATAGAATACTTCTGCGTAGCCACTTATGATGTCAAACAAATTTCACAGAAAGTCATATACGACTTTACTGCGCTGTTATAGTGGTGATTTCATGGTGAATATGAGGACATTAGGAGAAAGCCCCAGGGATGTGTCATGGTGGTGATTTCATGACAAAATTACATCTTAGAAAAACCTATTTCAATCAAATTGTGTCAAAGTTTTGTACAATTATTTAAGCGTCTGAGTAGTTATCATTTACCTGAACCTTTTGATGTATTTTATTTAGTTAAAAGAATTAAAATCATTTCAAGTATGCTTTCAGTTTTAATGTGATTGAGTAACTTAATTAATGGCCTCAGCTCCTAGTTCAAGTTAAAATCACTATCAATTTAATTGTGTTAAATTGTCTTCTTTGGCCTCGATATTTAATAGGAATCACTTTGATACATTTTATGTGCTTCATCTCCTATATACTACAGGTGACAATATATATATATATATATATATATAGAAAACATTTTGTAAAGACACTACAGAAAGTTTGTTCAGTTGCACCCATAGCTATCCGTGCTGCCTTAAGAGACTCCAGATCACTCAGCCATGGGAATAAACGTAGGTACATGTATCAGTCAGTTAGTAGTTGATCTCTGGAAAAAGTACCGAAGCGGTTGTGTTTCATGTGTAACGTACCAGAGAAGTGACCATATTCCTTGTATAACCTACGATAGTACAGCACCTGTGGCAAATGGCACAATGAACTGAAAGTGTGCGTGTCTCAGGATTGCAAGGTTGTATTGTATATATATACAGATTAATTCAGATCTACTGTCTCCAGTGGCGGATCTAGGGGAGGGGTCAGGGGGCTCAGGGTTCTTACCCCCCTCCCTTCTTAGCGCTAAGGATATTAGGGAATCAGATTTTATGTCATCTGGTTAATCTACAAACAACTTAGAGCACTATTGATCCATTTTAAGACCACCATATATCTCAACTCCCCTCCCATTTCTCTTGTGAAAAGAAACGTATGTGAGCCTGTGTGTTTTTAAGTATTAAATTTAAAACATTAAACATCTAAACCACAGTAGTTATATCCTTTGTCTTTGAGGTTCCTCTTGGCTTACAATAAGTTCAACATCCACCATCCGCCTCAGTCAATTAACTAGTTCCAGTTTGAACCTAGCCAAGATGTGACATAAGCCAAAGTCAATATTTATATAGAGTACAGTGTCGCAATATGCATTTGGCCGTTATTCCTGAGCATGGGATAAGCGTCCAGAGGCACTTTTCTATCCGTGGCACACGAGCGGTCCGATGGTATGGTAACCTTCTTCATTTGCACCTCCTGTGTCTCCAAACGCAACCCCGGTGACAGGGAGATAACCTGGCTCTGTGACATCACCTCCGTCCGATCTCCACACTTGGTTATTTCTGTCACAGTGGCAATCTGAAAGATATTTTAAATGGTTAACATCAATTTTGCACAAAACACATTTAACTGAAATATATTTTGCTGTTTATGTCATCGTTTCTTACAAACTAAACTGAAGGAATCAATATGGGTGCATAAGACACTGATTCAAAGTATTGCACAACAGGTACAATAACACTGTAGTCTACTTAACCGTTACTTACTGTCTTTAGCTCTTCCACAAGTGCCATTTTTGGCACATGCGCAGTTATATGGGTCACCAAGTGGTTCGCCGCCTGCCCAAAATTGCGCTTGCTGTCCGTGTCGATCATACCAGGCAGAATGATTGACTATTCTAGACCCGTAGCATTCATAAAGGATATGTTGACTGCAGTTGACTACAGGGACA